ATACTACTCTTTTGCAAGGCGCCTGATTCAGGGTTGGCTTGCACTTGTTTCGTTCACAATTTGACTGTTTTGTTTATTCATTAGACAATGACGTCTTTAAAATTGAACTCTGCTCTTGGGAAGGGTAACGTAGTCAAGCAGAAAACCAATTCTTGACCCCGAATACAGACAGTTACCAAATATGTATGAATAACAAACGTAGCGCGCTCCATCTAATAGCCGGGCGAACAACATAAATGATGCTATGTTTAACCTAATCTAAATAAGGATGTGACGAAATCTACACGCCAGTCCTATTCTGCTGTGGATCGCATCATTTGTTTTTACCACAGAAGATAATAAATATTTGTAAACAACTGCTTATATACTGCAAAATGATGCACAGCTTAGACGAGCATTTATCAACGTTGTATTGTTCTATTCCAGCATATGCAAACTGTCCCATGACGATTAGGTCACGTGTTTTGAACTTGGGGGCAGTAAGGAAACAATTAAATTCTATTATACTTTTTTTACGCTGTGAATACTTTATTGGTAAAGGTCAGAATTTAAATTATATATATATAAATATTCGTTTATATTTCTCAAAACGTAAAACAAATCGTCACCAGCCCATTCTAAATGTGTGAGATTGTGCCAAATAATGATAAGGCTTGTGGTACTGTATGATATAGAAACAGGTCTCAGCCAGACCAAAGACTAAGATAAAGGGCATGATGAAGGATATTCAGATGCTCACTGCAAATCATTAGCGAATTATTTTATAAATGTGATCATTTCAGTTTTGGTATTCCGTTTTGCAAGACCAATGGCATCATACATTCGCACGCTGCTTTCAAATGCTTTCCTTCGGCTACCCGTTCAGTTGACTAATGAAGAAGGGAGTAAATGGCCAACATAGTGTTAATATAAAGACCTATACTGTTTTCAGTTTAAAATGTCCGAAGTCCAATTTAAGATGTCGCAATATGGATTTAAGATGTCATGTTGCTATGTTTTCACTCTGTACTGTGCAAGGTACTATCCACATAGCAACATGACCTCCTAAATTGATACTCGGACATCTTAAATTCATATTATGACATCTTAAAGTGAAATTCGGACATCTTAAACTAAAAAAGGTATAAAATACCGGTAACTTAAAAATTTTAAAAAGAGAGTAGATCCGAGAGCGTAATTTCGGCTCACCCTTAGCAAGATAATGCAGTATATACAAAAAAGCTAACATTACTTTTTGGTAAGGGAAATTCAGTGTGTCTGCGAATTTTGAAAATGAAAATGTATTTAACAACTTCCGCGGATTATTTATTTATTTTTTGCCAATCCATCTTCATCAACAAAATGAAGACAACTAAACATCTTTCTGAGTAATTGATCAGGCTCATTGTTTTGTTGCTATTATTATTCTCAAATTTTAGCTACTATGACTATGTTCATAAAATGTACAATCCCGCACATGTCACAGGTTATTTTCACTGGCCATCTGGTTACATTCGGAGTATTCATGACGTTGTGTAGAACCTAAAATTATTTCCCAGTGACTCCCACGAGTTTCGATCATTCGCTCCTAGATATTTGACCTTCAACTTTTGTCTTGTGCCTTCTCTTACTGCTTTTTTGGTAGGGCCTTAATCATGGCGGTTGATGAGTGCCCATCTTAGGTTAGCAAGTCACACCACTAGATTTTCAAAACGTGCTACACAATGCACAGATAACCAGTGAAATATACCAGCAGTGTGCTTTGGAACTTATTGTGTGATGGCTGACGGGAAGTGCTGCACGGCGTTTTCGGCTTCTGTTGAGATTCGTCAGCAGTGCGCCCTAATTTCACTTCCCTGCAGGGACGCAAACCGGTTAAGAGTGTAAATGCTTACCCGTGAGATGTAAGAGTGATATTTAAAAACTTGAGGGAATGGCTTCATCGATGTTTGGGCTGAGTAGGTTTTCGTTGGGTTTCCCGTGTGGGTGTCACTGCTTAAGCTAATAGCTCGTTGACTAGTCAGAGCTTACCCTATCCAAGCAGACAGGAGTACACCAGTTTTGGATACATCATTTAAGGTTATTGTCCCCGAGGTTGATCATCAAAGGTTATCAGACAGCTTCGGCCGGTCCAAAGCGCTCACAGTACACCCTCCTTATTTGATACCCTCCACTACATATTTTGAAAACCATTTTATAGANATAGATTGTGGCTAGACTCTCTCTGAGCTCATCATAATCCAGAAAGTAGACAGCTATCTAGTTAATGGAGTTTCCACAGGTAATCATAATATTGTTTTTTGCAGATTTATTCGTTCGATTTCCTGGATTTCCGAAAACGTAAGAGAAGGTATCTTGTTCCGATTTATTTATTATGGGTTTCAATTTTGCCTTTCCATTCTGTCCCATTTGTTAGGTGTTCTTTATTATGGAAATAAACATTCCCCTGTTTAGCACAGAAATGGCACTGCAGTAGCACTACTGTTTCCTCCACTGCTTGTTTTGTATATAGTGCAAATTTTATCGTGATAGTCAACATCGCGGAAAATTCAAACGGTGAAACGAAGGAACAAAGACCGTTGCAGTGGAAGATATAGTTCAGAATGAATATACCTCACCCATAGCAACCAATACACAAGAATGTTATTATTATGTATTCCCGAAATGAGAGTCATATTGCACGAGTTTGACCAACACCGCGTCTTATGGACGCGGTTTACAGTTCTAAAAAACGGTAAAAAGCAGCAAACGGTAATCAACAGATTTGATGATCACTGTCACAGTCGCACTTACCGGTAGCAATTATTATGAAATTTGTTGTAGCTGGATAGAGCCAATAGAACGCCGAAACCCGGTCCGAGTGAGAAGAATATCTGTGAAGCTGCGTCACTCCAAACCTATGTCAGAACGGAAAGAACGGAAAAACAAACCCATTGGCAGACGGTGCACAGATGAAGCGCAAACTGCCCCAGCCAATCAATGACACTTCACGGTGTGATCAAGCCTCAGATGTTCACCGCACTTACCGAAATTTTTAACAAACTACCAAAATCGGGCGTGAGGTAATACTTGATCCCAGTCAGCGAACCTTCCAGCGTCAGACCGCGTACTAGCAATATGCTTAGAATTACGTACGGCAAAGTTGCCGTGACCCAAACGGCCTGAAATGAAAGCGGCAAATGACAGAGGTCAAAAGTGGGAATAAACTGTCCACACTCACTGTTTTTAATCACATTGACAACGTGCAATCATGACTATGAGCGGGAACAGGTCCACAAGCTGATTCCTCCAACTGCGAGCAGTCTACGGCTGGTCCACCAACGTGTGAATATTCGTTGGTAAACTACATCACTTTTCTTTTTGTATTCACAAACTGAGACCAAGTAGATTAAAGAATTCAGCTACTTTTTATTCATCTTTCTAGCGCATGTTCTACAATACTGTCCACTGTCCGCTTAAAGGATTTGACAGATATAAACTGTGTTTCTCCGTTTCCATGTGAACATCTTATTCATGAACCTATATGATTTTTACACATTTGGGCTGTTTACTCTTAATCACAGTAGCAAGCCGCCCTGTAGGTAAAATGGTTATATAGGGGGAACTAACAAATTGGAATGCAACCAAGTGTTAACAATCCATCATACTTTTGTGAAGAGAATCAAGTAAAATAATAGTCAGTGCAAGTTAATCGAATTCAAGTGTTTAGAATACAAATCAAGAGTTACATAATTGGTTGGCCGATGAAAAAATGCGCACAGAGTAAGGCTTTCTATCATTTTGCCTGTAGGGGGTTGTAAACTGTAAATTTATTTTTATGACCTCGATATATATAATTTAATCCCCCCCTGTGGAAATAAGCTTAACTTTTCTTCAATAATCGATAAAACTTCCAGTATCAACGAGTGAAATGATATGAACGTAATTCATAGAACAATTTCAGCATGTTACACAGACCCCGTTGAAAGCATTGGAACTATCTCGCAGTCGTCTCATCCGGACTGTTAGCATTGTTGGCACAGCCAACTGGGACCACTAGTGAGAAAACGTGTATTGAGTATAGGTAACCGCTTAAATGTTAACAATCAAAATCTACATCTGCAACTAATATGCCCATGTGGAACAAACCATTAGAGTGGTAGCGTGTGCAAAACTGGCAATAGTGCACGCATCCGGGTTGCAGCGCGGTCCCAAACTCCCGGTGGATATGCTGCACTGTTGACGATTGGCAACAAGCTGGAAGAAACAGTTTCACCCTAGCTCTAATGGATCTTTGTGATGTGTGGGGTGCCGGCGGTGTATTGCGAATTACTTTTCGATGGAAAATCTGCTTTCAAATGTCTGTACGCGTTCACCGGTCACAGTCTGAACTTGAGTATGCAATGAAAAATAGCGAGGGGATTGTGGGGTCTTACTTTTCCACTGCTCTTGACTCCTTTCCACAAAGAAAAATAGACGATGGTGAAAATCACGATCAAACAGAGGGCTATCTCCCAGCGTATCGGACCGACATTGTTGTAGCCCGTTGCGAATTGGATTTGCAACACCCGTCGGCTGAATAGGGCAATGGGAAATCAGGCATTTTAGGTTGGGTGCCAATATCATGTAACAACACAGCCTCTTTGTCTCTTGTTGATTACTAACTTGGTTCTATTTCGGACTTACACTGCGAGTGGATCCACAAGACAGTTCAAGTTGGAAAATCATTGTTGATCAAATCCTGGGCGCCAACGTTGAAAAACGTTTACGTGTAATCAAGAGAGAGAAAATAAAGCACGCAAATCTAACGTTTGTGAATCGTGAATTTCCTCAGGAGGAGATGATAAGCAATAACCTTACTCTACGGATCAATAACTCATTCACATCACCCTCTAAGTTGGATGGAACACAGACAAACTTAACTAAAGGAGTCATTCCTCTTTGTTGGTAGGGAGGTCAACTGAGATGTAATAGCCGCGTCATCGTATAAAAACAGAACATTGGATCAAATACGGTTTTGCTTCCGTAATAGCCTACAGGATTCATCAAAATGCAATAACAATCGAGGCTAGCAGCATTTGCCTATTATGCCCATATCCGCCTGTACTAAGGAAACGAGTTCAAGTGTTCCAACGTTGTTAGTCACAAAACGATCAACGACTATGTACAAGTATTATGATTACACTGGGCAGCTATGCGTTATTTAACCTAGTGATTGGGCACAGAATATGACCCCGCAAATTTTCGTTTATTTTCATCCACTCAGTTTATGAATAATACAATTAAGTTGATAAATAAGGAACTTTCGGAACGATCGACCTTCAAATGCTTTTTAAAGATAAAAGACTGCTGATTTTATAGTCTGATGTGCCATACAGATCTGGTAAATGCGTTTTATGTTATTTCACCTAACATCTTTGTCTCTTTCTTCTTCCTTTTTCTTTCTTTTCTTCCCTCAAATTCACCCGATTCACTTACTAGAAATATTCCTCCGTGGATGAATAAGCTGTTCTGTTCAGTTGGGAACGTCGAATTGCAGCTAAAAGAGTAAAATTGGACAATGCCTCTGACTGATCGACAATTGTCTCGTCAAATATCGAATAATTGATCAGACGTTCGTGCACAGTCACGCAGGAGTTTGTGTTCCACCAATTTCCACACCCGGACCACGGCACGTGAGGTTTCATTGCATCGAACATGTAGAACAGAGCCCAAGCCATGATGGTGTTGTAGTACCATGCTGTGTAGCTCGCGATAACACAGATTCCAAAACCGACACCTGATTGGATCGCGGATTGAATAAGCGAGGGAAGAAGACATAGACTGTGGGGTTAGGATGACAAAATCATCGCGAAAAGGCGACGAGGTTCAATCAGATCACAACAAACTGACTCTGAAAGAGACTAGTCCTGATTTGACCGGTCTCAGGTTTGTCTCAGCTCTAAATGTATCCGAAAAATGTTGTCCAACTTTGGTGACAAAAATTTGGAATGCAACCATCTGTATGGATTATAGCAATTCTGAAGCACACCGTGTTCTCAGTTGAAATTTAAACCATCATGATTTAGATCGATCGATCGATGAGAAGAATTCGAGGAGGGTAACCTAACTGTAATCTATTTTAGTCCAGTCGAGGAAACCGTTACCGATGATTTGCACAAAATTTCGATAAAAATCGTTTAGCTCAGCATCTGAATCACATTTGCACACGCTAACTCATTCTTCGGCCAAACTATGGTGGACGGGGAAAAGTTTGCAAGTCATGTGGCAGTGAGGTGTTCTGATGCCGTGAGATGCGAACATGTACATGATTGGATACTCATAGATTGGGTATACGACAATGCAACTTCTAAAATATGTCTGCCACGGGGTAAGAACATATTCAAAAGCACCTGGATTCATTTACATCACGTGGAGGGCTTAGTGTATCTCGGGGTAAGCTTACAATTGATCAAAAGTAGTAGGCTCGTTCCTGTGTGAGAGTGGGGACATGCAAAAGGGCTGGGTGGTGAACGTGAGACATATCCTGATCGTCTCGTTAGAAGAGTGTACGGTAAAATTATTTTACCCGGTTGGTCGTGATGTTAGTTTCATTGCTTGTGCGTAGGTACAGTGGAACAAGGCGGACACTTATCACCTTTTTGAGTCCAGTATGTGGGGATGTATCTCCACAATGTGTTAAAGGATCACACGGCAGGCTACCTGAAAAACCGTTTCTGCCCTCAGTGTCAGCTAGATGGTTGACAATGAGAATTTTCATGGCACCAGTTTTGTCGTGGTGCATGCACCGCCCATAGTAGTATTAAATCTTCTGAGACAGCTGCTTCGTCGAGCAGTCGATGTACACTGGTGGAACAGGTCAAACAAGAACTTATCCAACCGCCTTGAACTAGACTCACAATTACGACACTTAAACAAAAACGGTCCGGCTATCACAATCAACTGTGTTCAACTGAGCAAAAAATTATTTATACCTGGAAAAAACAATGGTTAACAACATCTGATATGTACCCTTAAGAAAGCCGCTTGGAACTACCTTAGTTCCATCAGATTATGCGGTCTAAAAATATCCTAAAGGTAACCTCACTGGTATGTAAATCCAGTCAGGTTTCGTCGCCTCACTTCTCCCGTCCGACCAAATAGCTCTCCTTATCGGAACAAAACTCCCCTGCTTTCTTGTACCACCCGTACATTGATTCCGGTTTTATGTCTCCGTTCAGTCGTTCTATAGAGATCCATACTTCTATCTACCTCAGTTACAGCTACAGACCTCATTTCACCGTTTAATACGATATTGCACCCACGAGATTGACATCAGGCACTATCCACTCGGAGCGGAGCGTATATTCCGATGGCTTTCGTTCATTCAAAGAAGCCTAACTTGCGTTTGTGTACTCGTACTACACTTGTTCGGCATTCATTTTTGTATATTTCATGAACCCAGAGAGACAGTTTCGTTTTAAAGAGGATACTACTACAATTTGAGTCCTTCGGAAACATCGAAAGACCGTTCCTTGTAGCCTTCCATTAGCCGTCGGACGTGATGCACTGCAAATAAATGGTTACGTGTACCGGTTTCTTTGCATAGTTTTAAGCATGTGAAAACTGTCAGACGATGGACTTCCCGACTTTTCATAAACCAATACCCTGACAAATCAATTACTGCTCTTTCCTATTCGTTTCACATCGAAATAATGCGGTTACCGAATCCATGCCTGGCCCTCTATGTGGGAATGGGGATAAAGTTGAAAACGCGATTGGAAGTCGACTGTATACAGCTCTCAAGAATCAGGTCACCTGACTGCCTCTCGTTTTCATTTGGGACTTGCGCGTAGCGCTGTAGGCCTATGGAGAGGCTCGCTTTTGATTAGTTTCCGTGAGTTACGCTTTTCGTTCTCTTGAATTCCATACCTTTTGCAAGTCAAGTTGTCCCAGTATCATTTCAAAATGTCCTCGGATTATTTCAAGTTGTCGCGTTGACCTCACCGGTGCTGAAATGATCCCGGACATCGTGAAATAATGACCAGTCAACTTGAAATGATTACCGGACATCTTGATATGATACTGAGACAACTTGACTTGTAAAAGGTATAGTTTATTTGGTTTGCAAACACCTCGTAAAAGGCTTGTACAACCATCTATGAAACGAGCCAAGACAAACTGCACTGCTAATCCCTAAAAGACGCTGCGATTGCACACGGCCACTGCCGTTGTTGTTATATTCGCACTGCCTGAAATTGAGCACACTGATTGCCGTCACTAAATTTCGATTACATATGTACTCTGTCTGCGATGGCATAGCACAGCACCATAGATATATAACTTGCTTGAGGGATAATACTTGGTGTTGAATACGCCCCCAAAAGATAATATATTGACGGTGAAGGTTTTTCAAGGATTATTAGTACAGTTGTCTATTTTTGGTCACATCCTACCTTAAAATAGAGGAAAAATCATAAAGTATTATCTAGCAGCAGCATTTGTTCTATTCGCTTTCACGTACGCATTCGTTTCCAATGGACAACGAACAAAATGTAAAGTTGGCGAAATGATATAACTCAATCAGTCCGATGTTTATATGCACTTATCATTGTTACTAAGTTGTGATATCTTCAATCGTAGTTAATGTGAATGTTCTTGAATGCTTGTGGCAATATCTCACTCAAGCCGAAGACGATCTTCACTCAAATATCTGTATCCTGGTAACGGTTTCTGAGCGCAAAACAGCCCCTTCTTCAGACAATATATCTTACTATTTCTAAATATTCCTTTTTATTAGATTTCGAAATCAGATAGCAATATACTTTACCCATTTGTTTATTTCTTCAAATTTTTTGCATTTATTGCCTTATTGTCCATGAAATCCGTGTTAGTACATTACTCTTCCCCAGTGATTTGTCCTTGTTCTTGTCCAGTCTAATGAAACAATCTTGCATTAAGTTATATAATAAACTTAGCCTATCATCCTTCAACTGTGGCAATAAAAAGTCACGTAAACCAGGCCCATATGGGCACTGAAGTTTGTCAGTTGACCTCTTCGTATTGGACCCATCTAATCACTTCAGACCCATTCAACATGTTCACTATTCCCAGTGACGATGTGCTCCTAATTATGTGTATAGAGAATGGAAGAGAGTCCACGTGAGCATTAGTTCAACACGTGTTTATCGTTAGCCATCTACGAAGGAATGTTGCCCGTGAGAATAACGCCCAAACACACTGCAATGATTCGTTGTAGATGAAAAAGGTGAACTTACCGCTGAACATTGGACAGATACGTTTCCAAACGGTGATACATCCGCTTCTTTGAAATTGACCTAATGCCAGTTCCAGATAGAATAATGGTAGTCCACCAAAAATGTACATGACCAGATATGGAATGAGAAATGCACCTGGAAAGAAAAGGGGAAAGGAAAAGCAGTTTATGTCACATTTTTCTGCAAAGAATAGTATCCACCACGGCCACTATGGATTTTCTAGGTTACTCAGCCCACACAAACTACTCATAAAACTGGGGTCCTACTGGTGAAAAAAATGTCCGAAGTACTTGACCTAACCAGAAACGCTTGAATAACGCTACAATCACACAGCAAACACAATATTATCTGTGGAGGGGAAACATGCCCCACACAACACATGACGTTCAGGGTAGTAATGAAAATTGACTTAATTATTCGACGCGACCTGTCGCATTCGCACCGAAATGATTGTGAAGTGCGAAATCACAAATAATCTTTCCACTGTTCTTATCTTTCTCATATATATCCATCCTGTTGAAAATCAGACCCGAAACTTCTCAAACAGAACGCGAGTGCGCTGACCATATTCACTACCAGTTAGCTGATCGAACTGTTTTCCGTTGTTTTAATACCAATCATGTCGGATGGGTGTATTTGAATCAGATACACAAATTCCCCAGCGTTAGGTAAAACAAACTTGAGATCTAGCTGAAGCAGGACGATTTCACATTCCTGAGACATAAAATCAGCGTAAACCTTGTTTTCATCGTCTTTAGCCATTGCAATTTTGGATTTTCCTAATGCGAATTTTCAGTAAAAACATGCGCAGTACACAGCGACCAGCCTTCGAATAAAAGAGATTCTCCAACAGACAGTCGGGTTATCGATCACCCAGCCTTCTCACATCTACTGTGAATCACTTTGCGTAAGGCATCACAGGTAAGCGAGAGCTAGGGTAGAGGACAGCTGAGCT